ATAAACTTGAATTGAATTGATTGAATTTAGTACTTTTTGCCACGATATAGGTAGCAGTTCCATTCATCTTGAAAGGGTTTGGGTCAGTACCACCTTGTGAGCACAAGTGTTGAGAAGCATTTGCTTTCACGAGGAGTGTGCTCCTTCAATTAGCTGCTAGATACGCTAAGGTAGTGGCTGGAAACATATGTTTGAAGATGAATCTCGCCAAAATTCATGCGTGGTTCTCTTCTTCTGACCCAGGCCCCTCCTCCTCATGGTTCTGGCTCAGAAACCGCCCTGAAGGCTGACAATTCCAGCCAGGATCTCTGCATATCCTAATGGTTCTCCCTAGAGTCGTGAAACACTCTTGGCCCGCACTGCTGCACATCTTGCTTGGTACTAAGCTCCAGGACAAAACATTTTTGAGGTCCCAGTCCCCAGTATAACTTACCACAATTACCTGCCATATCCCCTTGTTCTTCAATGCTATCCCCTACTAACCCAGCAACTAATACTGGCCTTTTCTCTCCCTGACAGCTTTTCGATGAGATTAAGACGGTGGTAAATAACAATAAACAGGTAAATAATAATAAATAGGTTTAAACGTCACGGGAATGTAGTTCCTGCAGTTCTTCTAATGGCCACATGGTGTGCTTTCTCTATGCAGAGCAGCATTAAAGGTGCAGTTTGTAAGAATATAGTGAGAACTTTACAGTGAGAAAATCCCAAAAGTCTAATGTTTCAGTCATTTTGAAAGGAAGGTTATACTGAAACATAATTCATATCCAGCTGGCTGCGGGGATAGTCAGTTTTTCTCCTTTCAAAACACAGGAAGGAGGGACGTAACTACTGTTTACCATCAGTGAGTGTGTGGTTGCCATGTCTCCTGTGAGCTAATACTGCAGCACTGGTAACTGTAATTTGACGACGGCATGCAAAAAGCTACAGAGTTGTTTAAAGTGGTTGCAGTAACTACATTTTACCACAGGATGCCATTTTTACTTCATTTCTACATAATGCACCTTTAATCTCCAGAAGAAACTAGTTTGGTAATAAATTAAGCTGCTGATTAGATTGACTATAAAATTTTGGATGACTTATTTATCAGTTGGTTCTTGGTTGGTTCAGCCTGAGATCAGTGGACTCAGTGGTCTCCTTTAAAATACAGCTGAAAACTCACCTGTTCAAGCTGGCTTTTGCGTGATCTTCATCACCACCTTCTCCTTATTCTGTTCTTTCTACCCATTCCACCTTTCCCAGAATCCACTGATTTCCCTCTTTCCTATTCATTTAATTTCTCCCTTTCCTTACTTTTTTCTTTTCTCCTTTTAAACATATTTTTTAATCATTTTAGAAACATTTTAATACTTAAATTTTTTTTTGTTTTTGTGAAGCACCTTGTGACTTTTATCTTGAGAGGCGCTATATAAAAGATTGTTTTCTTTCTTTCTTTGCATCATTTTTCCTGGCAATGATACTCACTTCAATCATAAATTATTTTAAAAAATAATAAGTGAGGAGCCAGTTGAGGTGGCTTGGGCAGGATGCCTCCCTGGTGAGGTTTTCCGGGCATGTCCAACCGGGAGAAGGCCTAAAGGAAGACCCAGGACACGCTGGAGAGACAGTGAGTGCGTTTACATGCAACCAGTAACCCTTTAAAAACCCGAATATTCACAATAACCCGGTTCCGCAGGTCCATGTAAACACCGCCAAAAACCCGGATATGCTCATAACCTGGTTTTTTAAAACCCGGTTACTACACCTGGGGTAACCCTTTTCTAACCCGAAAGTTTGGTTGTGTAACGCATATCGGGATATCCCCATCAAAGTGTGTGTTCTGCACATGCTCTGTTCGCAAGGAATCTTGGTCTTTTGAGTAGCGAGACGTCTTGTATGCGCCAGAACACCGGAAGTAAACAACAAGTTGGGAGCAACATGGCGAGTCGCGGCACAGCACCACACTTTTGGAGTGACGAAGAACCTACAGCACAAACAAACGCGGTCGCTATCTCTTCCGAACTGGGAAACATGTTGTTTTCACGGATACCGGAAGAAGAAGAACCGGAAATGACGCATATTGCGTCTGGACGTAGTCCATACGTCCTGACGCTACCCCAACGTCCGCATTTACATCGGGTCATGCAAGTTAGAGGTAACTCTTTCTATTTATGCTTGTAAACGGGTTATTCTGATCAACTCAGAAACCCGAATGCCGACCTTAACCCGATCATAACCTGGATATTGGCTGCATGTACACGTAGTCTATGTCTCACGGCTGGTCAGGGAACACCTTAGGATTCCCCCAGAGAAGCTGGTCCAAGTGGTTGGTGAGAGGGAAGACTGGGCCTCCCTGCTTAGGCTACTGCCCCCACGACCCGACCTCGGATAAGCGGTCGAAAATGGATGGATGGATAACAAGTGGAGGACGTTTTCACACTTTCTTGCAAAACCATTCAGGAACTAAAGTGTTGAGGTAAACAAGCAAATGTCCAAACTACAGCCTGTTTTTAGGCAGGGCATTAAAATCACAAAAAGGTCAAGAAATTTTCTTGCATTTTAGACATCAAAACATCAAATCCTGGATGGCAGAGAACTTTCTTCAGCTCAACCAGCACAAAACTGAAGTTTTAGTCATTGGTCCTGAGGCCCAGAGAGAGAAACTTTTACTGAAATTACAATCTCTGTCTTTTAATCCTTCTGAACAAGTGAAGAACCTGGGTGTGGTTTTTGGCTCGGAGCTTTTATCCCACACATTAAAAACATCACAAAAATAGGTTTTTATCACTTAAAGAACGTCGCCAGAGTCCGCCCTATTCTCTCTCGGGCCAATACGGAGATGCTGATGCATGCTTTTATCACCAGTAGGATAGACTACTGTAATGCCCTTCTTCCTGGTCTTCCCAAAAAGAGCATCTCAGGTTTACAACTTCTATAAAATTCAGCGGCACGTGTCCTGATGAAGACTAGGAGGCCGGAGCACATTACACCAGTTTTAGAATCATTGCATTGGCTCCCTGTATGTTTCAGGATCAATTTTAGGGTTCTTCGAATGGTTTTTAAGTATCTTAATGGTCTTGGGCCTTCTTATCTCTCAGAAATGCTTTTACCATATGAGCCCTCACGGCCCCTGCGCTCTTCTGGCTGGTCTCTCCTGGTTATCCCTAAAGTCAGGACACACTCACGGCGAGGCGTCCTTCCAGTATTACGGCCCTCGCCTCTGTAACGAGCTGCCAGAGGACCTCAGGACCACAGAGAACGTTCATGTTTTTAAGTCCAGGCTCAAGACCCATCTATTTTGGTTTGCTTTTATCTAATTATTTACAATAGTTTTATTTCTCATTTTACATGATTATATTTTAATACTGGCTTTGCATGTTTTAAATGATTATATTTTAGCCCAGTTTCATTATTTAATAATATTATTATTTTACTGTCCATATAATTTTATTTATTATTCATTCTCTAACTTTTGTCATTATATTAGCTTTTATTTTCATATTTTTACTCATTTTAATTCAGTGTTTTCTCTGTAGGGGCCCTCTGCCCCAGGGGCGGTGGTCCACTATTGCTTCCTAGGTGCTCTACAGGTAGTTAGAGTGGAGTTGGGGGTCTATGCTCCCCCTCCTCTGAGCGCCCTGACTTGGTTGCTGTGGAAGACCTGATGCTGCCGGGGCAGACGGCTCCTCTGATGGCGTTTCTTTGCCTTACCTTACTTGGCTCATCTGGACTCAGCCGAATATAAACTTTTACTGGTGTGTGTGTGTGTGTGTGTGTGTGTGTGTGTGTGCGTGCGTGCGTGCGTGCGTGCGTGCGTGCGTGCGTGTGTGTGTGTGTGTAAATGTTTTCAAACTGTTATGGGAATTTGAGATCATTTTTATTCTGTAAAGCACTTTGAGTCGCACTTTGCTTGAAAAGTGCTTTATAAATAAAATCTGATTGATTGAGTGCAAATATAAAAGAAAAAGCAGTAGAACACCGTGTGCACCACATTGCAAAGCGCTTTGATTTGAATAACGATGCTGAATAAATGAGGTTCATTTACAGTTTGCTGCACGCCAACATCGAACACACACACAATAATAATACATTTCAGTCTCTTTTAGATACCTTTTCTGTTTGCATCTAACTAAAAAAATGCAGTTAATGTTTTCTTCTTGTGTAAGACAAACAGCACTTCTGAAGAGGAGCCAGACCACATAGGAGTGGGTTCCCGTTATGATCTTAATCAGTGAGCTTCAAATAAGCTGCTAATTTAGCCAAAGATTGGTGGTTTCTGACTGCCTGGCCACAGTCTGAGAGGCAACGAGAAGCATCATTATGGAAAGAAGATGGGTGAAAGCCACATTTTGGTACTGGTAATGGGAGTCGCAATGACAACCCAGTCCCTAGATCAGGGGTGTCAAACATGCGGCCCGCGGGCCGAATCCGGCCCACAAGCAGGTTAAATCCGGCCCGCGAGATGGTTGTGTAAACTTTATTTTCATACTTTACAACGTAGAGTGAAAATAAACATATCTTTGTGAGCAGGTTTTCTCTAATGAGTATAAATAAAACAAAGCTGCGCTCAAGGCTCACACAAGAACTTGAATCACATCCTGAAGTTGGCCGCCACTCAGGATGTGACTTCTGATATTGATGTGCTGGTGAAAGCTAAAAGATGTAAAGAAAAATGAGTCAAATATACTTTAAGTGCTGCATGAAACTGATCTTGCCATGTGATCTGTACGCTCTTTGAATCACTAAGGAATGTTGTTTTTATTTGTTGATTTTTTTTTTTCCAAATTTTCAAGTACACTTCAGGTGTTGTACTTGTACTACACTGTCTTCAGGATCCAGCCTTGTTTTAAATTGATTGTATTAAAACAAAGAAAACAATCTGAAGTTTTTTTTAAATTTACCGGTCCGGCCCACTTGGGACTAGATTTCCCTTAATGTGGCCCCTGAGCTAAAATGAGTTTGACACCCCTGCCCTAGATGAACAACAGACCTGCAACAAGGTTGAATAAATAAATGTATACCCAAATCTGCCCAGCTGCTCCAGTTCAGGCACCGGGGGGCCGTAGGTTTCAACTCGAATGGGTTTGTACTGGTACAGGACTTCCTCTATCCTGGGCAAAGGCTGGAGACACACGTTCTGACGCTGGAAACGAAGCACAAGCAGCACAATATTGATTACTATCAGCTCTGAACAGTAAAATACTAAAAGGCTGTGTAAAAACAGATCAGAAAACACAAGAATCAAAGCTTTGTCTTTTTGATTTTCCCCTGACACAATGGTTTGGTGGAGAAACCGAAACGAGCGATGACTGATGTTTCATCTCTTTGTTAGCAACAGAGCAAATAATCCCAACAGAAATCTAACAAATCTCTGCTGGGTCTCTCCAGCAAAACCGATGAATGGAGACTACTGTTGGCTCTTTTAAAAACCAAATCTGACATTTCACAAACTTTCAGCTGCCGCAAACAGGTGAGACATGAGAGACTCCTCGAGGACAGTGTCTTTGATTTGAGCCTGAACCATCAAAAAAGGGAATTTCCACACAGACTTTTCTCTCCAGCTTTAAAGAAACTGCTCCAGTCCCAAAACAATCCTGGAATTAAAAAAAAAAGACGATGTTTAAACAAGCATTAGCTATTTCAGAGGAGAGCGGAGGAACTCTGGGACAAAGAGAAGATAAAAAGATAAGAAAGAAGAGAATAAGAAGTGGGGGAGAATAAACAACAGAACACAGAGGGGAGCTGATGAAAACCAAACCAAACAAGCTACATGTGCCCTGCGGCCACACACACACACACACACACACACACACACACACACACACACACACATACACACACACACACACACACACACACACACACACACACACACACACACACACACGATACAAAGCATGAAAGGGCTCAAATGGGTGAGTTTTTTGATACAAACAGAACAAAAAGTTTTAATTGTCCAGGTGAAGAAGTGAGGCCTGCAGGGGCAAACTGGCATACAATGAGTCTAACTTCATAAATAATAGAAAATGTTCTGCAATCTGACCAACGTTTATGGCTAAATCAGCTAAAGGAAGATTTATGCTTCAGTTACAGATGTTTTTTAGGTTCTAGATGATTTTGCCCTCATAATCCAATTGTTTCTCTCAGAATGACTTTCAGCTATCTAAACAGAACAAGTCAGAACCTGCAACTCTGTTCAGGAGCCTTTGGTTTGTGCAGGTGAGAAGAGAGTGACACTGGCAGCCAATGATGAGAGCTTTGAACCAGGATTTCCTGACTGATGACGACGTGACGTCATAAAGTTTTGCATTTTTTAAGATGGAAAAAAAACATTAAAGATGAATTTTGATGTAACTGCATAACTAAGAATTACTGGTTTATAGTAAAAATGATAAAATACACAGATCTGTGGTTTTCCCCAACTTAAAGCTAAGCCAAGACACGTTCTGCTCTCTTCTGACTGAAAAACCAATACAGCCTTTGGAAATCACAAGCCAAGATGGCCGAGTCCATGAACGGTTGTTTTCTCCGTGACGCAGAAGAGACTAGCGTTTTCTGACCTGATCGTTTTACTTTCTGCGGCTCATTCAGGCAATGGAGGTTAAAGATTTTCTGCATGCGTATGCAGCTGAGAGACCATGTTTCGGTATGAATGCTTTCTCAGAGGTGGGGACTTTAACCTAAACGTGTCCTAGTGAACGCATACAGGAGCACCGCCACATCCTAACAAAACCTGATAAAAAAAAACTTTGTCCACATCATTATTTCTCTCTTTCACACTCCCTCAGTCTCCATCCATCTTCTTCAGACATTCAGCACCGTTTGGGTCACTCAGAGGTGCACTGGGACCGTGGGGTCCAGGGAGAGGCTTCAGCCCACAGCTAGAGAGAAAGTGAGCCGCAGACAGCCGGACTTCAGTAAAGCAGATTTTTAAGTGACGGATATCGTTGCCCCCCCTGCATTCTTCAAGAAGGGCACCTTGAAAACTGGCATCACTCCACATCTGCACATAGGAACAGCTCAAAACATGTGTACACTGCAGCCGGCAGGCATAGATGGGCCCTATATGGATATATGGACAAACCAGATGGGTGCCAACAGGGTTTGTCCAAATAAAATTTTACAAGCTCATGTCTGAGATAAACCATCTAGGTCTCTCTGAAAACCCATGTAGGGCCCGTTAAAATCTATGTGGGCAAACCCCTGTGGGGCCACAGTGGAAACCGTGGCCAAACCCTGATGGCATCCATATATATATATATATATATATATATATATATATATATATGGGGACAACCTATGTATGCTGGCTGGGCACAAAACATTAGGAATCAATTCATTAAAAACACCACACCACCTAATGATGTTTCTGACTTGTTTAGCAAAAATGATGCAGAGAAACAGCCCAAAATCCAGCTGACGAGACTTCTGCAAAGCCTCAAACATGAATTCACCCCCTTCCTGAGTGAATTATGGCACAGAAATGTTATTTTCAAAATACTCCAGAGAAAGAAAGCAACAAAGAGAGGGGAGAGAGGGGACCCCCGGCCAGGCCCTGCGGAGCAGGGGTCTTTGAAACAACATGACTCAAAGAGCCAATGCAAACATCTGCTTTCATCATCACGGAGGCCCATCCAACTACCTACACAACATAGTGTGCATTGTAAGTGTGTGTATGTAACTGGTATTTAAACTCTTATGATACCCCTGTGGCACAAAAGTGAACCTCTGGGGGCCATTAATCCTAATAAAACCGCAGGGGGCATGATTTGAGGACATCACTATCGCGCCACCGGGAGTACCCCTGCATCTCCAGAGTCTGGGCCTCCTGCTCAGGTATAACAACAAATTATGGCGTTCTGGTTATACAGGCAAGCACTGGGGCTGCTAATGGAAGCGGTCACGTGTACAGATTTGTGAGCAAAGAGCTGCGTTAAACTGGCTTGCATTCAGCTTGAGACGAACAATAACATTGCTCTTTTTAAATTCTTACAAGTACAAGAAAATGTATCAGGGGGAGCGCATCTGACTGAGTGATGCACCAGACAATCATGAAACTTTTATGGGACAGAGGTCTCATAAAAATAACATTACCTTCAGGCTGCGAGGGGTTTGTGTCCGCGGCACAGCACTGAGACAATTCAGTGATGGTTACAACGAGGACTCTCTCACCAGCAGAAATAAATAAACCCATCAGTTCCTAAAACTTTTACGTCGTATTATTAGAAAATTACACTAAAATTAAGTTTATGTTAAATAAACGATGGCCAACACGAAGAAGGAGGCCTCGTCTGTTTTTTGAAACACCAATCTCCATGCTCGGGCTGCCGCTCTGAGCAAAATTGGAAAATTACAAAGACACGCACAACACAAGCATCAGCACTCTCCAGCACCCCCATGCCTCCCCTGACTTTGCTGCTCAGCAGGATGCATCAAGGTTGCAGAGCCTAACCTCTCCATCAGCACCTCCCCACCACATCTGCTGGCAAACAAACAAACCCACATAAACTCCCTCGGATCCCAGGAGCTTTGGGAAACCTTCTTCAAATGCACAAAGTGACACCAACAATGGTGGGGTGTTGAGCAGCAGTGTATAGAGAATAAAAATGATGAGCCTGGTTGGGAGCTAAGCTGGAGTTTCTGTACGGATAAAGAGCTTTAAGCTGCCCACTGACACACGGAGCAGCAAGTAGCAAGTGTAAAAACTGCTGGCACCCTGCGCCTTACAAGTTTAAATATATCTGGCTGACCAGTGGCAGCTGCCCCAGCGCAAAGCCCCTAAAGCTGACAAGTCCTTTTTCCGCTGGGACAACCTGCATGTGGGCAAGGTTTGCTGAAGCCAACCTATACACAGAGAGAGGCAGAGGTGTGAATGCCCACATGTGCTGATGCCAATCAGGGTTCTCTTAATCCTCTTGAGGTAAATCCCTTCATTCACCCCTTTGGACCTGGAAGCACACCCGTAAAAACGAGGTGGTTGATAAATCAAAGGGAGATCATTCGGTTGGTGGCTGAATCCAAATGAGACTAGAATCTCAATCCCTGTCTTACTTGAGAGTGTGAACATGAGATGTGAAGATAAGATGAGGAAACGTCTGTGGGGGTTGCAGCGAGTGCGCGGCAACAATTCTCAGAGAAAACTGGTTAGACAGGTCTGGGAGAGCACAACAAAGCAGAGCTCAACTGAGCAGAGGTCGCCGTAGAGGACTTAACCAAGTAAGCAAATACACTAACAGTGTGTGTGTGTGTGTGTGTGTGTTATGTCGTCTATGGTCGTCAAATTCCACAGCCTAAATGTAGACTGGACTAAAGCCAGAGAGAACCCAGTTATTTCTGCCAGCTACACATCAATGTTTAGGGATAAACTTTCCACCCACATTGAACTGATCGTGTGTGTGTGTGCATGCGTGTGTGTGTGTGTGTGCGTGCGTGCGTGTGTGTGTTGCACTTTGTTTATGTGCATGTCGGCTTCCCGTTTCATCTGATGCCCTCAACAGCCTCGCCAGGTATGCCAGCTGCTCATGTCAGCCTGAGTTGTGGGACTGGGACTCGACAGAGCTGGAACCTGGGACCTTTCATCTACGATGGTGCTGAAAGCTGCCTAAAGGTGGAGAGATTCTCCATCGGTCAGCTGCTCTCAGGAACGGGACACAAACACACACTCTTAGCTGATAGAGAGCAGCAACACCAGCAGAACAATCATTTTTACTCTGCTGGAAATGAACCAGATTTATTAAATACTCATCAAATATGGACGCAGGTGCCAAGCAGAGCGACTTCTGTCATCATGGAGCTTGACGGTGAGGTTGGTCTTGTGTCAGACAACAACAAGCGTCCTGTTTAAACAGCCTCACACACACACACACGCACGCACACACACACACACAGTGTCTCTTTTGAGATCAGCAGACTTCTATTTTAAAAAGACACTTTCTTCTTCAAAGGGTGTGTACTCAGGCTGGGTGGAGGGGTAGGGGGTGTAGTTTTGTGTGGGTATGTGTGTCTGGGTTCAATAGAGTGCCTACAAAGTGAAGGATTAGTGAGCGTTTCCATACCATTCCTGAGGCAAGACCAGGCCCATCCCACCTCACATCACACCTGGACTAACACCGACTTCCTCATCAGTCCACTAGAACAGCCGGATTACATCAGGGTTGTTCTGGACTCCTCCTCACCAGATCTAAGGAACATCACTCTGACACAGACTGATGACAACAATCCTCTCCTGATTCTGGATGTTTAATAAATCGGCAGCGGATGCTCACCTCGACCCGGGCCGAAGCAGCTGACTCAAAGTACTGAGCGGAGGCGAGGGGAGGGAGCGGGTGAGGGGAAAGTAAAGCTTCTGTCACAGCAAAAACACCCGATAAAAACATGAAGGGAGACTCTAGATTTTGGTCTAGAGGTATTTTCTGCTCTATGAGAACATTTATTAATCTGACATTCTGATACTAAATCGTGCTTATTCCAGCACTGTGTCCCCATAATTCTAGTGAAACCCACTGATCTGTGCTGAAGCCAAACAAAAGTCCTCAGAAATCCAAACCAACACATTCCCCTGACTCCCGTCTCTCCGTCCAGCCGAACAGAAATCTGCTCCACCGACAGCGGCTCGGATGAGAAGATGAAGAAAGAAGAGTGAAAACCAGCTACTAAAGAGGCCAAGAGCAACATAATTATGCCGTTTCTCTTTGCATCAGCGAGTTTGCCCTCACACTTTGTGTCAAAGGCGTGACTTTTTAAGCACTACAGGCTTCATCTTGATCAATCTGGAGCGTTTAAAGTGGAAGCAGTTGTCTCTTAAGAAAAGAGAAAGTTTATTTATACGTGCGTATGTCAAAATCTAGTTTGGAGCTTTAGGTGAGTGTGAAGCAGATATCTCTCCCACGCATCACTGAACTGTGGGAAGACGACTATGCCTCATGAGGGCTGCTATGGAAGGGGTGGAGTTGATGACACAGCCTATCTCATCACAGTAAAATGAAAATAAATGACTGAAAACCTGAATGCCGACCAAGTAGGAAGGTCTCTCCAGACGCAATAAGCAGAAAGCTGCAAACTCAGAGCAGCTAAAGTCCTGAGCCCACATGTGGGACCCTCTTCTTATGGAGAGGAATGTGGTGAACAAAGGTCAGGGAATACAAAACATTACCTGCTCCAATTTTCCTTACCGCCAGTGGGCTGGCTCTAACCTTAACCAGCCACTTCCTTTTGTTAAAACAATGTTAAAGTTTACAGAGATTAAAAAAAAATCATTCAGTATCGCTCACTGAGTAATTAAGCCCCTCTACGCGTTTGTAACTTCCGGGTAACTTTCCCAGAGTTTCACAGCATGAGCGTGTCTCAATTCCACAAAAGACCATTTCAGAACCCGACTGAGAACCTGAACTGGGGTAGATCCTCGGAAATGGTTGTAAATAAAAAAGAAGTGACATCAGTAAAGTTGCCAAACAACCGGCATTTGTAAAATTGGAAAAGATGCTGATGAAGCAGAATAGAAGTAAAAGAAAATAAGCAGCATTCACACAACTTTTAAACTCCCTAACCTGAACAAAGTGGCGGTAATCCCTGACAGCGACAGAGTGCTGTAAAAAACGGTGTTTCTTCTGGTTGTTGAACGCTGCTTCTATGTCACACAGCTGACAGAAAAAAACTTCAATGTTATCGATGTTTGTGTGACATCTTAGCAAAGTCCTGAACGGGCCAGTTGAGTATGGAGGCCCAACGGCTGAGAGGACCACGCCAGCGTATTCGCCACCATCCTAAAAATTTCCAGAACTCCTGCAGTAGAGATGCAGAAGTACAACTGGTAACTCTGAGCTAAATATTCTTCTGCCCCATACGCCTGCATTAGCCACAGAAAGCTAATAGAAGGGAATCAATCGGGTCCGAAAAAGCCAGACTCTTCCTCGTCACGGAGTAAGTTAGCATTCATGGACTCATCCACCTTGGCTTGCGACTGTGAAGGGCTGCATTGATTTTGCAGCCAGGAGAGCTGAGCGTGTCTCGGCTAGTAGAAGCTAACCGTTAGCGTTAGCAACTCCACAACATGGCGGAACACATTCAGGCTTGTGTTATTTGCAGAGATATAAAACATCAAGGTTGCAAGAAGACCAAACAAAGGCTCTGTTAGCCAATCAGAGGCGAGAGGTTTGCATATGAATTTTTCCACCAGCCATTCCTCCACTCCTACTTCCTGAAACTGGAGCACCAGCTTTTTCATACTAGAGACCACAGCACATTTATAAACAAACAAACACACAAACAAACAAATCATTCAATCAATCAATCAATAAAACATTAAACTGTTATCACATCAAGCAAAAGCACACAGACACATAAATAACCTACAAGCTCTCTTAGGATGAGATTAGAAGATTAGGATCATCCGGTTTTTATCATAAAACCTACAGAAATCATAAAAGCAACCCATGAACAAATAAATGAATACTCACTATTTGGATGCCGGTTGAAAATATACTGGTAGGTTTGACGTTCTGTTTTTGCTGCTCGATCTCAGTCTCCAGCTGGGCAGCACGAACCTTGTGTTGGGCAAGTAAGAGTTTGGCGGGAACCTGAGACTTCTCCTGGAGAAACAACAGGAATTCAAGAGAATTAAAAGCACGTCAAAGACCTTCATTAAGAAGTTTTTTCTCAGAGGAGTACACAGACGGCAGCTCCTGCCACTCATTCATCGCTGTCGCTAGATAACCATCAGCAAATCGTGCTTTTAGGCAAGCCGCCACCCACCTGACGCAAGCTTTATTAACAAAATCCTAGAAGGGCATGAAAGGTTGCTTCTAAACCACCTTCACCTCTACCCAAGTCAAGGTCAGGAGTGATCCCTAAGCACATAAGAAACGTGGAAAAGTGAACAAGTCAAGAGTGACAAGCTAGTATGGAAAAATGTGTGAATGAATGTTGTGTGTGCAGACGGTCGTGGGTGTCAGAAGTTTCCCTCACAGGGAGGTAAGAGCTGATCCCATCTGCCAACAAACAGGCCCTGTGCCTTAAACAAACAAACACACAGCTTAGCCTGCTATCTGTGATGGTCCTTCAGCGGGCCGCTCTGCAGGAACAATAACTTCCAAAGCCCTCGGCTCAAAACAATGGTGCCAAAAAGGCTCTGGAATCACAGAGCAGAACAATGTGGCCCACAGCACAATGACTGCTAATAAGCTCTTAATGACCACACAGCCACGAAGCCTCAGGCTGATGGAGAGAGCTGAAGTGTGTGCATCAGACACACACTACCTATGATGACGGGACCTCCTCTGTGGTGGTGTTTTGCATCTCCAGACATGTCATCCTATGTAAATATGTGTACACATGTGCTTCTCACCAGTTCATCCAGCAGAGCCTGTTTGCTCTTTCTCTTGGCCTGCAGCTGCCTCTGCTCCTCCTGCAGCACCTCCAGCCTCCTCTGCTCGCTGCTCTGCTGTTCCAGAAGCAGGAGCTCCTCCAGCTCCTCCTGCTCGCGCGTCTGAAGAGGAGAAAGAAACAGGAACTTAGGGGGACCCTACAGCACTCGTGTGCATTCTGTTGGACGCATTTTAGAGCTTAAATGTAATTAACATACGAGCTTGGCCTTATTTCTCTGGATGATGTCTCTGTTTTCTTTCTGGTAATGCTCCATCCTCAGCTTGGTGTTCTCCACATCAGTGTTGTTGGTCAGGTTGTACACTGAACGCGACAAAGACAAAAATGCATCAAAACCAAACGGAAGCTTCAGTGAAGCACCAGATTCACTCTAGTGCTTCTGCAGATTAAATAATAACACTGATTAAAACATCTATCTTACTTTTCATGTCTGAGGATTTGATGCATTAGTCACATCTTAACCCAGCTGGAAAATATTTCTAATTTTTCTTTTGGTTTGCTGAGAATTTTAATGACATCAATGACCTGAAATTAGTTTTTAAAAAAGAAAAACTTAACTTTGTTTCAAAAGGCTTGATGATCTTCCTTTATCCTTACGCAGCAGTGACAGTCTAAAGACCCTTTCATTTAAAACTGCTTTTACCTAAACCTTTTATTTTCTTATTCTGAACTGCAATTTTTAATCTCATTTGTTTATGAAATTTAATAATTTTATTATTTTATTTTTTCTGATGTTAATCTATTTCTGTTTTGAGATCATTATGATTTTATGACTTTGTTTTGATTTATGTGAAGCACTTTGTGATTCTATGTCTGTGATAAGTGCTCTATAAACAAAATTTACATACTTAAAATGTTTTTCAAACATGACTTTTTGGAACTTAAAAAAATTATTTTAAAGACTTGTGCAAATAGGTCAAGTCATCCTACAGTTTTATTTCGCTTTGTAGATTTTCTTAATTTTGTAACGTTTCATTTGAAGTTTGGATGAAGACTCTGGATGATGATATTTGTGCATTTGCGAAGACGACTCGTTTCTATTCAAGTTGCTGAACATTTACAGATGAATACTTCCTCATTTTGCTTGTGAAGCCACTGAACTCTGACCTCTGATCATTCAGTTGGTCCTTAAGGCACCTAAACTCTATGAACAAGCAACTTAGCAAAAAAAAAACACAATTTAAATTTGATTTAAGCACTTTGACTGTCACATTAAAGATATTAATCAATCCCAAAAAGTGATCAAAACCCCAAAGATTTACAGTTTGACACATAAAAAAAATAAATTAGCTCCAACAAGGTGGATCTGTGATTATCAATTAGCTAAAAGCTGGCACAAGGAAGGTGCATCTCTCATTTGTTATTTACAAGGATACAGGCTAATAATTATTATTTTTATTATTATTATTATCAATTAAGATTGAAAGTAGATAGAAAAGCTGACAAAGTTGAAAAAAATCATCATAAAGTCTCATAAACTATTGATCAGAACCATTTTAAACAGTTAGAGGACATTGTGGCTTGTTAGATTATTTAAATCTGAGAGTGTGTTTGAATCTTTGACACAAGATTGCATAAAAACCTGATTTATTTATTTGAAAAATACTTTTATTCCCATTTCATTTTGGTGTGAGCTTCTTAGGATGGACTGTTTTCCCCTCAAGGTGCTAATTAACAGGACCTGATTAACATTTGACAGGCCACACCATGTCCACCCACACTTGAAGCTTTCAGAAGAATTCCACCTGGTGCTCCTACCTATATCCTCCACTTGCTCCAGGTAATCGTTGTATTCTCTCAGGCTTGGAAAGTCAAATTCTCTCTTGTTGTATCTGCAGAGAAACCAGATTTAAATAGTAAAACCTGATGAGACCATCTCTGCAGCATGACTAATACACACATTAGATGTCAATTAAGAGGCTATAAAAGAACGGATGAGATGGAGAGAAAGATGGCAGGGAGGGGTTTGCGAAGTAAAAACCTGGCAGAGAAAGAGCCTTCTCCCCCGGGGAGACTCATTGTCTACAAAACAAACAGTAATGAGAAGGACAAAGGCAGCTTAAGAAGTGGGAGGAGGCATGACAAACACACAGAACCACACCCCTGACCCTCACTCACATTTTCATCACCTTCTTGCGGATCTCCACCTCCTTGTCGATGGCTGCGTCCTCGAAGAGCTGCACGCGAAAGTTGCTCTTCCTCAGGGGCGTGTCGCATTGCAAGCAGTTGCCCGAGCCGCGCGCGAACAGCATCTCCACGCAGTTCTCGCATCTGTGCGTAGCAACAAAAATAAAATTTCAGTCAATCAGCGCTTGTGGTCGCCTCATCAGGCACATTAAGTGATAATGAGGCATAAGAATATTCCCTCTGAGTGCTGCGAGATGGCTGGAACAGCAATCGGAATGTCGATTAGGCTGCCTCGCACTCTCCGACCAGAGGAAATTAGTCCAACACCCCATCAGCTGAGTGTCTGTCTGCACTGGAGAAACATTTGCTTTATTATTGCAACAAACCTCAACTATTTCGCCATGTCGCAACATGAGAAAAAATCCTGCTCAGTCACTCGTGATGCGCTTAAAGAAAGGACTACTTCTTGCATCATTTGGGAAAAAACTGCATGTTTAATTACTTATAGAGAGGTCTAATCGTGATGAGCTGTTTCTATCGGGTAAATAATGGCAAAAATTCTGTTTAATGGAGTTCCTGATTAGTGTCTAACACAGGAGGTTTAAAAACACGACGGGGAACCACAGGTCAAGCCCTGAACTGGAACCTCATGGACCATCGACACAAACTCCACCGCTCAGCGTTCCTTCCTGAGGGCACAGCCCTGAGTTCAGCCATCAATCACACCTTTACCCAGGTAGGCGTTTACCCATCAGTCACACTCCAGTGAGGAGTGGACACCACAAACAATGGGAATGTCCCTTTGTGTCCCCTGATGGGGAGAAGGGGCCTGGATAAACGTTTGCGCAGTGCTGTCTTTTAATTAAGTCTCCGTGGAGCTTTATTTCCACGAGAATCCACCATCCAGCTCATGACCACCTTCACAAAAAATGAACATCTGGTTTTCTAACGGCGCTAAATTGAGCCAAGTTGAAGGGAAAAGGCAGATTTTGCAGCTGATGGTACGACTGACTCACTTCTTTCCCAAACCGACAGGATCCGGGAGAAAAAGTTGCCCAGGAACAGAACAATAATGAGAAAGTCAGGCAGAAAAACATTTCACTCCATCAGCAAAAGAGCTGAAGAAGAAACTGCAGAGACACCGGATTTGACTGTTTACACCTAACGCCTCCAATCAGGGTGAAACAAACCCGACCGGCCAAGTCCGACGCCAAGCGCCCGCTCTGACACAACATGAAGCTGATCATATATCAGCTCAGCGTGGCTATAAAGAAGCAGCGATACAGAAAATGAAAGATGAATGACAGAAACATGTGCGGTGTCCAGTTGTTGTCTCAGAGTGTGAGGAGCCCCCGCTCAAGTGCGCCCTGGAAGAGGCAGATGTTCGCTGTGGCCTCGGGCTACCAGAGATCTATAGGCCTCGCCATATGGAGGTAGATGGAGGGATTCGGCTTGTTTCCACAGGCCCACAAAGAGACCATTCATCAACACAGGGTAAGGAGTGGGGCGTAGCTTGCCCCCTGCCCCATAAATGGACCACACAACAGAACTCTCTAAAGGGCAAATACTGTGTAACTGTAGAGCAGAGAGGGGGACCATCTGAAACAGAGGGAGGAGACTTTTAGAGTCCATTTTCCATCCTTCTGACGGTTGGTTGGGGTTTCTAATCAAAGAGGGACACAGGAACTTATTGCTGTTGCGACTCTAGTTCACATACAGAGGAGGCATTTAAGTGAACAGGGGGAGGACTAACAGCTTGCCATCTCTGTGTCCCAAGGCAGTTGTTGCTGAGTGAGTGCTTCTGACTCCTCCCTTTCTCACCTGTCCCACTCAGAGCTCCAGGCTCCTATCTCTCTATCTGCAGCTGTCAGCAGGCCGGGGGTGTGTGTGGGGGGGGGGGGGGGGGGGGGGGGGGGGGGGGTGCTAATAGGAAGGTAAACAGGGTTCTGGCTCAGCAAAGACAATCTGCCACCAACACAACACACCCCTTGGTGACACGGCCTGAATCTCGCCTCTACAAGGAAGTGAGAAGCAGCTCTGGAATAGAATTTGAGTTTTACTGATGCGTGTTAAACTAAACAGCTAATTTAGGACTTTTTTTGTTTACTGAGGAGAATCGACTGTGTACGATTCCTAAAGTCCCACCTGAGCTTTGCTCTCAAACACCAATGGGCCTGGTTCTGGTGCCACCCTACAAAATTAATAAAGAAAAAACTTCTGGCCTAAGGGAACAGCCATCCAGATTATGCTGTTGTGGAGTTTAAATATAGATGCACAGAGAAGCTGGATAGAAAAACATACCGTCACTGTTTATCATCTCAGAGCTAAACACAACATAAGGGCTTACATATGGCTTTAAAGGTCAACTTTACTAAAAAACACATTTTTAATGATTATGTTTTATTATAATTGCTTACTCTGAGCTTTTCATGCAGTCTGAACATGAAAATAGTATCCTACATCTATCTCCTGCATTAGCTTGTGATAGAAAATAGACAGTATAAAGCCTGACAGATCAACGTCACACTGTCACTTAACATTCATGGACTCACCCATGTTAGCTCACGATGAGGACGGCTGTTGTTGGTTTAGCGTCCAGAAAACAGCAGAGAGCGTCTCGGCTAGCAGAAGTTAATAGTTAGCATTAGCAACCCCACCACACAGCAGAAACTCTGTCCAGGCTTGTGTTATTAGTGGAGATAAAACATCAACGTTGCAAAAATAATCAGTGGTTGAGTTGTGTTGCAGTTATCCAATCAGAGGTAAGATGTTCGAATATCAGGAGATAAGACTCCAAATCCTGCCGCCTGAAGCTCAGCTCTGATCCGGCTCATTTCTAGTTCCTGAAACAGGCACACCAGAGCTTTTTTAACCCCAGAGTACGACTTACAGGCATTCATTCCTACTAAAAACTACTGCAAAATGTATGAAAATATTAGCTACAAATAAAACTCATCAAGGAAAGAATGATGAATTCAAATCATATTTTGCAACTGAAACGCATATTCAGTGCTTAGCTGTGATGTGACTAGAAGTGAGCCACATCACAGCTAAGCTTCAGACGACAGGATTTGGAGTCATATTTCCTGATATTTGGTCATCCCGTCTCTGAATGGATAATGCAACGCTACTCTACTACCGACTCTGCAACGTTGAAGTTTTAAATCCACAAATAACACAAGCCTGGAAGAGTTCTGCTGTGTGGTGGAGTTGCTAATGCTAACTGTTAGCTTCTACTAGCTGAGACGTTCTCCGCATTTTCTGGACATTTAAAAAAAACAACAGCATTCCCTGTCGCAAGTCAAGTTGGGTGAGTCCATGAATGCGTGTGTGTGTGTGTGTGTGTGTGTGACATGGATCTGTCAGGATTTTTGCTTATCATTAATTTTTTCTTGTACCAAGTACTGCAGCAATTTCCTAATGTTGTGAGTTCTCTCACATCTGGCAATAAAACCCTTCTGACTCTGATTTTCAAATTCTTGTGTTCCACTGTCTATTTTCTATCAGAAACTAATGCAGGAGATGGGTGTAGGAGACTGTTTTCATGTTCAGCCTGCATGAAAAACTCACAGTGACCGATTATATTCAGAAAAAATATTTTTTAAATATGTTTTTCCAGTGTTCTACACCTTTGAAAAAGTTATATTTCTTGTGATTAGCGCCCTGTGCCACCATCAGTCCCAATATATCAGGAGAACCAACCTCCTTTACTAGACCTACAGTACATGCTATCTGCCGTGTACAGTAGTGGTGTCTGGAGAAGGGACTGATTTTTATTTCTGCACCAGTTTGACAGAAATATAAATAAATGCCACTTTTTCATCAGTGAATAAATTATAACTTTAATAACATTAAGTGAACAAACTATTTTGACTTGTTTACATTTAAAAATGTAAACCGTCGAAAAACGACGAAAAATGTGTAAAACGTTGAAAATAAGCGCATTCTTCGTATTAAAATGCATCTTCACAGACATCACATGTGAAATCCATGGCACATAACAAGCAGAATTAGAAAATAGCGTCTTTAGCCCCGTTGACTTGCATTCATTTTTTGGTTTTTCTGGGGACCCGTCATCCGGAAGTAGATGGGCGTGACTTAGGCTCCCTATGGAGCGCTGTCTGTCACCTATGATAGACTGTCACTATGGTAAAGCTATGGAATCTTGCGTTACCATAGTTACAGCTCAGGTGCATCATTTAAAATGCTTTAATGCTTTCAGACTTCAGTTAACGTTCCATCTCGAGTGAGTAGGACCTTTTCTCTGCGGTCTCTGTGTTTGCTGACTTTAGTCTTCCAGAGAGCAGCTCTAGCAGGTAATACAACTACCCACAAACAACCCAGCCCAACATCTGACATGTTTAGACTTTCAGATTTATCTGAAGTGTTTCCTGTGCTTTACTGGGAGACTTTAACATCCCTGAACGTAAACTGGTTTTATCATTTATATAAAATACACCTGCTGGGAAAAAACAAAATAAACAACAACCCCTTAAGCAGGTCAGATTACAGATAAACAGTCAAGATAAAACTCATTTGAATCTGAAATATGAGTTATAAACGTACGTTTCTATAACTAGACCTACATGCTATCTGCCGTGTACAGTAGTGGTGTCTGGAGAAGGGACTGATCTTTATTTCTGCACCAGTTTGACAGAAATATAAATAAATGCCACTTTTTCATCAGTGAATAAGTTATAACTTTAATAACATTAAGTGAACAAACTATTTTGACTTGTTTACATTTAAAAATGAATCCATCAGCTAATAGAAGAGTCATTTGGCTTGATTTAGCAAACAGAAAATTCAAGAGGCTCAACTGCAGGTTATCTTTATGTATGTATTTAACTTCTAAGTAACTTAGTTTTTGTCACATTGCTCTTTGATTAAACACTACCAGGAAAACTGAAATCTCTGTTTATATTTATAACCTTTACTGCTATATGAGCATCAAGACCAAAGAGAAATTTATTTGATGTCAAACGGTTTGTTATTTGTCTGAAGAGGATCGTATCATCTTCTTTAAGTGCTGATATCTTTTTATTAAATATATTTCTACGTCATCAAACATCTGGTCTGTGATCCGATCATTATTATGCATAAGAGGTACACCTGATGATGGCTCCTTTTATGTTAAATCGCGTTTAGAGGGACAGGATGACAGAATTTAAAATGCAAACAAAAATAAATCTTTTAAAAAGTAATGAAGTTATTGAATATAATATAATATGTAAAGCTTTCTTTATTTGTACTTTACTTATTTTCTTCAGGTCTACTTTTTACTTTTACTTCACTAATTTTTAAAGCCACTATCTGCACTTCCTACTTCACTACAATAAGGAGCCTAGGTCTCCTCTTCCCGGTCGGCTCATTTGAATCGGAAATATGAGTTATAAACGTACAATTCTATAACTTGTTCTAAAATTAAAGCGGATCAATACTTTTGGAATCGAATCCGGAACTGCGCTGCTCTGGGTGACTGCATGTTGGAGTAGCTCTGTTGACTATATGTAAGTTTAGCCTTTTTTTGGACATTTTTTTTCTTCTAGTTTCTCAAGAAAAACTGTATTTTTTGGACATTTCACTTTTCTGTTTCTGGTGCTGTGAAGCTTAGAGGATTTTTACTGCTATTTTTTCACTTTTTGAGCATTTATTATGATGCGTAATCATGGCAACAAGCTGGTTTATAATCGGGAGCAGCTGATTAACATTGGAAAAGCTGAAATAATCCCTCAACTGAAGCCACAAATCCCAAGATTAATCAATTTCCCTCTGGGATTAATAAAGTATTTTTGAATTGAATTGAGACATTCTCCATCAACAGCAGATGCCTTAATAGCTCAAAAGTTATAAAAGAAGGGAACAACGTGTGAGTTTAAAGGAACGGAGGTTTCAAAGTGTTGCATAAATTTTGCCTCACACTGGCTTGCAGGACCAAATCCAAGGTGACCCAAGAGAGGAGGACATCGCTCCAAACTGCTTCACTGCAGAATCATTTTAATTTTCAGTGTGCGTCCAAACAGAGGTAATGAACCTGCTGACCTGATGACAAAGCACGACCACTTCCCGACGTGGCGGTCAATGCACAGAAAGGGTTGCAAAAATTCACCTTCATCAGGTTGCCACCTCAAGGAAGACATGTTCCTTTAATTTAATCAAAAGATGACATCTCTGCAGTCGTGTTGACTTTTCCCTTCATACACATATAAAAACACTAAACCAATGTTTTATGGTTGTGTTGTTAAACAGTTTATGCAACATCAGAATAGATCAGAGAGCAACTAATTCCAGCTTGTGATCAAATGATCAACTAAAACATTATTTACAGGGAAATAATAATTCAATTTAGCACAGAGAGACAAATTAGTAAAACTTTAACAAGTTAATGAAAATCATGTGAGTATCAGACTTAATTTGAACCTTTAGAAAATCACTATTATGAGTTTTATATCATCTGTATGATGACATGAACAAATAAACACCATGCAAACATACAACGCTTGAGCTTTATATATTTTGATGACAGACCCTTTATTATCTGGCATGTAGCCAGTTTCCAAACATGCATCTAACTACACACACCAGTAAAATATCTTTCAGATATTCTGTGATGCAAATTCAAACCTAGACTCAGCTTATGCAGCAGCTCACCCAGACGTCCTCTCAGACCACAAAAACCATTACACTCCTCTTCTTTCCTTTACTTTGATTTCACTTCACTTTACAATACATTAAATGTTTTTGTTGACTAAATTCGATTTAAATTTAGATTTTTCTGATTTGCTTCACTTATATTCAACTTTGCTCTCTATATATGAGGTCTGGCTTAAGTATAAGTGACTTTTTACAGTTTTAGTTGTTTTAAAATGTGTTGTTTATGATAAAAATGATGCACGCAGCTGTGTAATGTTAAGAGGACATGACAGTTTGACTGTTTTAAAGCGTTAGCTCCTAATTTACAAACCAGTAGTTGCTTATAGTCATCCTGTGGCGTTTTATGCAGATTAAAACCGGGCTGCTGCCTCTTGTTTTGGGGAAATTAGCTTGAATATTTCGCTGTTTAGCTGAAAACTGATACTTACAGCGTGTGTCCGCAGACGTTCACCATCAACTTCAGCGACGGATTCCTGTATTTAGTTGTTTTGCACCTCGGACACCCCTGGTCATCCATTTCTGCCTCAAACACACAAATTTACACGTTTAAACAGAAGAAATCAACAGCTAAATGCTCTCCTGACACATTAGAGCAACGAACAACTGCGTTACACTGAGTACGGTCCGACCGGAAACGTCTTTACTAAGAAAGGTTCCTATTTCATTGTCGCAATTGTGTTCCAGAAGGAGACACATAATAAACATATTAGGACATATGTTCACATGTTCCAGGTAAAAATGAAATGTAAAAACAACTTCCATGCATTTTGCGAATGGAAATGTACATTATCTTCTCTTTGAGTGGCATCTGTTTAATGAAAATAGTGATAAAATGGACTGAAACTAAACTAACTGATTTTTTTTAATTTCTAATACATGCAAAAGGGATTCTGATAGTGATCATGATTTTAATATTTTTATGAATATTTTGTTTATAATAAGGAATTTTCACACTTTATTCTAGACCTATTTGTTACATTGGGATATAAATTTAAAAAAGTTGACAGTTTGGACAGCAATTGATTTGAATGTTAAATTATCATCAAAAATACTGAATTGGAGCTTCCTAATTGAATAAATGGAGGGCGGGTGTTGCATATCATTAAGAGTTCCTGCAGGAGAGTGACTTTTGATTCCATTATAAAACGACTTCATAAAACTTGTTTTTTGAAACTTGAAGCAGCATGCCCTCCGCGTGCGTAAAATGTTCTGATTTAGCATAAATGAGATGTTTTTATTCTTCCTCTCAGATGAACCGAGGGTGTTTTCGGACTGAGACAATAAAACACCCAAGACAATTTCTCTCCTGTAGGGATAAAACCCCTTACGTGCGTTGGAAACCACTTAGAGAGACGAAAATAATTTCCCGTTCCCACGATCCCGAAAGCACTCACCTTGCACAGGTGAGCTCCGGGAATAAAGCCTACTGGAAGTTCCATGACTGACAGCAAACATTCGCATAAGAGTCGCTCCTCCCCCGTGGGGCCCTCAGCGGCCAATAGCGTGGCTCTCATGCAGATAGACCCCAGTGTGTCTCCCTCCAGCTCCAGTCCCCGCAGAGTAAAAGTCACGTTGGGAGGAAAAGTGGAGAGAGATATCTACTTACAGCTGCTGTCAGATATCCGATCGCGTTCGCATGGCGAGGAGGTAACCTGATCGAGCTGGGAGGAGTGACTCTACCAGGGAAGGCTTGAACAAAAAAAAATGTCTTCTTCTTCAGCCGGAGAGGTCATAATACCAAATGACATCAAGAGGGAAAATGTGAAGGAGGTGGATACGCGGGAGTGCATCAAGCTTGTGGCGCTGGACGCGGCTGAGCTGTCCATGGAGCGCACGACTCCCAGCGCTGACGCGGTGCGCACGGAGCTGCTGGTGAGCGCCGCTTCCTCTCTGGCTTTCTCCCCCGAGCAAGTGGCGTGCGTCTGCGAAGCGTTACAGCAGGGAGGTAACGTGGACCGTCTGGCGAGGTTCCTGTGGTCCCTGCCCCAGAGCGACCTGCTACGCGGCAACGAAAGCATCCTCAAAGCGCAAGCCCTCGTTGCTTTCCACCAGGCTCGGTACCAGGAGCTCTACAGTATTTTGGAGAACCACAACTTCAGCCCGTCTAACCACGCCTTTCTGCAAGATTTGTGGTACAAAGCCCGGTACACCGAGGCAGAGAAGGCGCGGGGGAGACCCCTGGGCGCCGTGGATAAGTATCGGATCCGGAGAAAGTACCCTCTCCCCAGGACTATCTGGGACGGCGAGGAGACTGTTTATTGTTTCAAGGAGAGGTCACGAAACGCGCTGAAGGATCTCTATAATCAGAATAGGTACCCATCTCCTGCCGAGAAAAGAAATCTCGCAAAGATAACAGGACTCTCCTTGACCCAGGTCAGCAACTGGTTCAAAAACAGGAGGCAGAGGGACAGAAACCCGTCGGAAGCGCAATCCAAAAGGTGAGAGAACAAAAGAGGACACACACACCCTGCGGACTTTCTAATTCGAGCCTCTCTTTTTTATGTTATCCAAAATATTTTGCGCGCAAAAGTTGCACAAAAATATTCTGAATTAACTTGAAACTTTTTATTTAAAAATAAAACGATGCCGCTTTGTGCGTCATCCTCTCGACCGTGTTTTATAATAATCCTGCTCAAAATCATTTGGAGAAGGATTTTAAAACATTTTATTATGCGTTTGTTGTTATGAAACCCAAAAAGAGACTCAGCAGCACGTTTTTAATGTTTTGAAATATGAAGCAGCTGCCATTCAGATCTGGTTTCAAGCGAAGCGGAGCGAAGAGTCATGGAAACCATAGACAACAAAATCACCCAGTGCCTCCAAAACCCAGGAGAGAAAAACTTTAATGAAGAGCTTAAAAGGAGACGTAACCTTTTTTTTTTTTTTTGTTCTTCCCTCTAATTGTCCACGAGCGCGCACGTGCGTTTTTTCAGACCATAAATCATTTTCATGAATATATTTTTCCCTTTTGAACCAAAGGATCTCAGAGCTTCAGCAGCTCCTGGGCTTTATTTCATGATCCTCACTCAGAGATGTGAAGGCTGTTCTTTCATGTTCCTCTCTGTGTGAACAAAGATGACGCACACCTGGTGGAGGTGACCCCTCTGTCTCCTTCACACTCACACACACACACACACACACACACACACACACACACACACACACACACACACACACACACACACACACACACACACACACACACACACACACACACACACACGTACGGGCTGTTATGGCATTATTTAGAACTGATAGAAATATATCATTTAATTCAAAAAATATTTATGTGGATTTTTTTCTTGCTTTTCATATTATTTTCGAGAAGGAATGTGTGTGTGTGTGTGTGTGTGTGTGTGTGTGTGTGTGTGTGTGTGTGTGTGTGTGTGTGTGTGTGAAAGCAGCTGTTTTAATCCATCTTTATGAAGACAAAAATAAATTACAACCTGTTAGATAAATTTCTTTTTAAAAACCGAATTTAAACTTTCAGTTTGACGTTTAAAAGCAGCACAAATTCACCCCTGAACCATTTGTTCTGCTGGCATTTTGTCACGCCAGAATTTATTGTGCCAAATGGTCACAAGGTTGTTGACTGGTTGTTGTCAGCTCTTCATGAGTGCCCCCTGCCCTCCAGCCTGTTTTCTAAAAGCTGAGGAACAAATGTGACTTTGGCTGCTCCAAAGGCAAATTGACATAAAACAAATATGCTTTTATTCTTTAAAGAGGTATAACACTTGGAGAAAATGTGGAAACGGTTTTGATATTTGATTTATTGAGTTAATTTTTGTTTTCCTACTTTCAGAGGCTTTATCAGTGTTTTGTCTTTCCAGTGAATCTGATGGGAACCACAGCACAGAGGACGAGTCCAGTAAAGGCCAAGAGGAGCTGTCTCCTCGTCCTCTCTCCAACTCTTCAGATGGAGTCATAACACACGGAAGCATCCCAGTTCAAACAGGACCTCTGGACAGTGGGGTCGTCATCCAGCAGATTGGGGACATTAAGATGTCCACCGGATCCAGCAGCGGCCTCTACAATGGGAGCCTGGTGACCAGTAACGCTTCCACCACCATGTTTCACAACGGTGGCTCGTCCTATCTCCACTCACCAGGAAACATCCTCTTCAACAATTTGGGCATCCAGCCCCTGACGTTCAACCCTTTGAGGACACCTGGTGGGGTACTGCTGGGGGGCTCCGGGGCAGAGTTGCAGATGCAGGCTGAACAGGAGAAAGGACTGGGCGGTGCCGAGGACTCCACCTTGCAGTACACCTCGTACAGCGGGTGCGTGAATGGGGCTGAGGTGAAGCTAGAGGGGGTTCATACCCAGAATGGGGGCTCGTCCGTCCTCACCTTCAGCTCACCATCGGGCACTCTGCAGGTGGGAGGCTACAGCCTGGTCCAGGTACCTGGGGGGGTCTCTGACAATGATGGCAGCTCATTACTCAGCAACGACACAGGTCTTCCTCCCCTGCAGCTTTCCTCTGCATCATCTTCCTCAACAATTACGCGACAAGGTGGGTTCAGGGACTCATGAAACAACTCTAAAATGAGTTTAAATACAAACAGTGATGCAATCAAATTCAAAGACTTTATCACTTTTATTTAGCTTCAAATTTGCCATGATGAAGTACTTAAGATAAACATTTTAATCCATTCTTAGATCAAAATCTAAGCTCTACGGTTCTGCCCTTAATCAGATGCTATTTTATTTGCGTACCGGTTATGGTTAGGGTTAACAATGCCTGTTATGCTGCCCGTCTTTAGCGGTTTGTCAACAAGTCTGTTCTCCTCACACCCAATCCATCTGAGCTGCTTCGTTAGTTTATCTGAGAAGCTGCACATAGTGAAGGAACACACACGTGTACATATTTATAGAAGTGGTGGTCCTTTTAGAAGCCCCCGAGAAGAAGAAAGTCCTGAAGTCACCATCACTCATCATCAATACACTCTTGATCTACAGAGCAATATGTTTCAGCGGCTAAGAAATGCATTCACGTGGGAATAAGCACTTACTTTGACATAAAACAGAGAATTGAGACCAGAATATGAGAAGAAAGAAAGTCTGCAGCGTGTCTGTGAGTCCCGCTGCATGGGACATGCATCAGACACTCAGAGGCCAGGATCTTTTGTAGAAGAAACAGCAAGAGTTTAGGAAAGGCTCAGCTAGTCAAACTAATATATTGATCTGTTGTGTTTCCACAGGCAACATGTCTCTGAATAATGTAGCAGTGAGTTCCTCCGGTGATGACTCATTCCAGCAGCAAGACAAGCTGACCATGACGCCTCTGCACCACAGCACAGTCCTCTACAGCATGAACAACGGCCAGACGCATATCAAGAAGGAGCCCCTGGAGGGCGGGGTTTACTCCACGTACCACCACGGGCTCCACATGGACCCCAACGGTCAGATCAGCTACACTGATCCCAACTCCGAGGACATTTCCCCCAGCCGCGGACCCGCTTCCACCACCGAGGTCACCGCTGTCAGCTCGTCCAGCACCGAGTCTGAAGTCTACACCACCCTCGCTAACAGCGCCCCACTGATGGCTCAAACAGACCTTAACAGCCCCCACCTCCATCCCACGGAGTACCTCGGTACCCACGAGGTCCCCAGTGGGGCCCAGTCATCACACCTGATGGGGCCTGGCATGAACAGTGACTACCTGAGCCTCACACGGGACAAAGGTGACGGCTCGGGGTCGGGGGGCATGAATGAAATGGTGCGAGCGATGTGCAGCGAGATGGAGGCTGCAGAGGGGAAGGAGCTAGCCAAACTACAGACAGTGCAGATGGATGAGGACATGTCCGACCTCTAGCCTCAAACCTCCCTGAAGCACTCACGCTCACCTGAGCAGTGATACCATGAACATTTTATACTCTTTTGTGTGTGTGTGTGTGTGCGCGCGCGTGTTTTTTTTAGCCAATAATTTCCTTTAAATTATTTGCTTTGTTTGACTTTGTTTGTGATGCACTCTGGTCAGAGAGGACCCCCGTCGGTGGGCTTGATCAGTTAATTGTGAAATTATGTTTAAAAAAACCTGTGATCGTTTTTAAAGAAGCCCTCGTTTGTGAGACAACACAAGTCGACTCGCTAACCAACAGAAGTAGTGGCTGTCCGCGTTTGAGCCTTGTTTTAATGTGCATTTTTATAGCCAACACCTGCTACTTCCTGTTGAGAGGATTTGATCTGCAGAAGCAGGTGCTGGAATGTCTGGAGTCACGTGACCGGGATGTTCCTCCAAACTAAATGCGTCATCTGGGTCAAACCAAAAAGGTCATTCTGGAGGGGGAAGAGGGAGAGAGCCTCTATGGAAGGAGTCAGTTAAACAGCTTTACTGAAGGATAGCAGAGGAATAGTAAACAAAAACACAAGGTTTAGGGGAAGAAAACTAAAAAGTGTCCTTCAGTATAAGCACTTTAGCCTCTCAACACCTCTCAAGTCCCTGCAAAATGCTGCTTTTTGTGCTTTTTATCATATAAAAATAAATTAGGAATCTTGAATGTTGGAAGAGAGTGAAGAAGAATGTGCCTTTCTGCTACTAAAAACTCTCAACGGCATTGGTCTGTTTTGGCATTTGCACTACCACGATGACATTACGATGTTTCAAACACAACCTCCACGTTGAAAAGGTTTGTCATGCGTGACAAACCCAAACAGAGAACGCTACTGCAGCGATGGCTCCTATTCCAGGTCCCCTGTGTGGCAGAGGCAGAAACACTCATCACTTGTGTCTTTCATTGTGACTCGTTGATGAAGCTGCGCCTGACGGGAGGATACCGGAGGTTTCATTTTCACCGCCAAATGTTGGAGATCATGAATATTTCTCAAAAACAAAACTGGAATTTAGATATTTCAAGTGTTCATAAAATGAAGGGAAACAGTTTCAACACGACCAGAAGGGATGCGTGTACACGCCCACATCTAAACACGATATTCCTCGGTTTTTCATGGCCTCACAGCATTTTGAACACGAGTGCCTTTTACATTTGTTGTGTGGGCAACAATAAAAGTTGGGGCATCAATGATCAGAAAGCAACTTCAGAGATTCACCGCCGTCGCCTCTGCATTCGTTTGGTGTCTCACACACACACACACACACACACACACACACACACACACGTAAAAAAAAGCTCAAATCCCATTTGTCAAAGCAGTCTGAGCTTTTCAGGAGCCCAACATCTTCATGTCATCCCATAATAGCACATGTCAACCATCACATGCATCCATCATGTGTGAGTGGACCTTTCAGTGAAAGTTTCCTCAGTGCTTTAATGTAATAAACCAAAAGAATTACAAGCAAAATGTTTTTTTTATTTTATTTTATCTTAGTTTGAATTATACGTTTGTTATCTGAAATTATGTGAATGTATTTTTCTAAATCTGTGTACTGCAATAAAAGTTTATATTTATAAAAATGCAAAGCAGACTATTTTTCATTCCGAGTCACAGATTTAGCTTTTAAGAAGAGCGAAAACAACACCGTTTTTAGTGATGCAGTATTCCCGTCAGGAATTTACAACAGACAAAAAGCACATGTCTCTCTTCCCAGATTTAAAAGTCCCATGTAAGTCAGATTGTTAGGGGGGGGGGGCTGGACGCTGTAATCCAGCGAGTCTGCTGCAGCTTTCAGCAAACCTGCGGTGATCGTTTGCACATGTCCGACAACCTGGAGTTCATTAGGCCTCCTTTTCTCATCTCAGCCCCTGTAATTCAAATAAACAGCAATGAGATTTCCAGAAGTAAAGCTCCTTTTGGGTGGGGGGTCTGAAAGCTCACCACAGTTCAGTCCAATCCAAAAAGGGTTTTTCTTCCCCCCCTTAAACGCATGCAGGCCAAAGCCCCCCCCCCCCCCCCCCCCCCCCCCCAAGCGTTTGGGACAAGCCAACCCGAGGGGCTATCGCTCACTCAAAAAGAAAAAAAAAGATTTCAGGGAATTCTCTGTACATTTGTGAATTTCCATCCCTGACGGCTCAGTGGGCATAGGCAGGGGATTTTAGTTGAAGTCTGTCTCCACAGCGGACTGGACTTTTATGTGATCTAACCCATGACCCAAATAAACAGAAGCTGCTTGTCTGTGCTCACTGTTGAGGCACAAAGAAAGAGGGAAGAACAAAAATGTCAGAGTCTTACGGGAAAGGCAGGCGACTGGGATAAAGTTACCTGTGCACAGGTGACCTCGTCGCCATGGGCAGTGGATTAGTTGATTGTCGGGTATCGGGTGACTCCTCCTGTAATATTGAAGAGGGTGAAAACAGCTTTGTTGGAGCCCAGAACAATATCCCATTTGCAGCAAGAGCCCACAGGTTTTTTGGCTCTCACGGGGAGGGGGGGCCGGGGAAAACTCCAAATTCCACTTTTGTGTGTGTTAGAAAGAGCACGACTACTGCATAGTGGTATTTCCTTCTATTGGAATGATTCCAACAAGTGAATAAAGTTAAATGTGACTGAAAAACACCAAAGTGTGCTGGAAGAGGAGGAACTCCCCCAGAACTCTGGCCTTATTAAAAACACTGACCTCTGATCTTTCAGATGGTTTCAAAGCTGATATTTAATGCAGCGCAGCAGACTGCAAGCCACATGTAACATGACCTGGGGAGCGAGGTACTCCACCACTCTACGTCCCACTAATGAGAGGGCAAAGGTCAGCGAGGACCAGCCGGGCTGCAGGCCCACCGCTTCTGACCGAAACATTCTGCTCTATCTGAGCTTCATATTTGAGCTCTGAGTGATGAGCTCGTCTGCTGCAGTCCCTTAGGTGGTCCACAGGTTTGTCCTGCAGGACGAGGACAGAGGATAAGAGGACAGCTTTAGACACCAGCCGCGAGACAGCAGTGGTGGAAGGTATGGAGTGAAGAGACATGGACACATCCTCTCAGCTCCACTCTGACTTGTGTGACAGCTTTGTCACAGCGCCCCCTCCCTGCCAGAAGGCACACTGAGCTGAGATTCTGTTTGTTTGTTTGTTTATCTGTTTATTCGCCTGCCTGGTTTGTTTGTTTATCCAGAAAAAGGAGATTACTTCAGACAAACGTCCTCATCTCTGTTCCCTGAACTGTGAAAGCAGAGGCCTTATTTGCGTATTTGTGGAGGTGGTCCTCAGAGGAAATGCGTAATGATTTTGATGGGGTTGGTGTGTGTGTGTGTGTGTGTGGGGGGGGGGGGGGGGGGGGGGGGGGGGGGGGTGGGACCGCACTTGTACCAGGTCTAATTTTCCTACATGACAGGAAACTCTGTTAAGCTGATAATTGCAGCTCCAATTTCATTTAACTCACTCATGTCAACAGTTGTGTTTTGTTTTGAGAGAAGGAGCTGTTTTTTTTCTCCCACCACCAAATAAAACCTGCTTCACTTTAATCAAAAGCACATTTGGGGACATCTTACACTCATCCGCTGCTTTTCTGAATAAAAGGTTGTGTTTCAAAAGTTTTCAAATTCTTCTCAATAAATAGAAATAAAAGAAGATCTGAGGTTTGTGCGGAGTCCCTTAGAAATAAGAAATAATTTCCCTCAATGGAAAATTAACATTCTTCAAATTGATTAAACACCCAAAAAAATAAATGAAATAACTTTGGTCCAGAGAAAACAGCTGAAATACCACTTTAGAGTGAAAACCATCTGTGGTTTCAGTTTTCCTCCATATTTTCAACAAAATAAACTCTAAAACAGCAAAAGGCTGTTTGATGGTGACGTTTTTATGAAGTGTTTCATCGGTTTGACTTGAGATTTTTCTTTCTCAGTGGTCTGATGTCTCTCTCCTCTGCTGCTCTAAGCCCATATTTCTCTGGCGACACATTGATGGGTTTTGGTGGGGAAAAAAATCCCCGAAATCCAGGTCCAGATTAAATTAGCGGTGTGCACATGGCTGGATTTAAATAAACACAGAAGAATTCTGTGCGTAAAAGCTTCAAAGACGCAAAATAAACGAACATTTTCTGCTCCTTTTTAAAATGGGTTGAGGAGTGATAGCCTATTGCTTTACTTGTCGGGTTATGAGGAGCCCACTGGCCGTGGCAAGGAGGTGAATGAGGAGGAGGAGGAGGAGGAGGAGGAGGGGGAGAGTCCACATCTTGAAATAATCTCGCCCCCCGGGCTGCTCGGGTTAAAGGAGGAGGCGCAGCGCAATGTGGTAGAGATATTAGAGAAACCTGAGAGCCGCTCATCAGACAGCTCATTTACTGAAGCACTGAGGTTTTACACAGGCCGAGAGCAGCCCAGGACCCGGCCTGTGGCTCCACTTCCACATCTAACTCACACAGAGACAGAACTTCATAAAACAGATCAAATAAAGTTAATTCATCACTAGTATATCACATCATAGCTGTTTTTGTCACCCCACTGTATCCACACGCTGGGAAATGCCTTTATCATAAGGTGTGCCAATAATCTGAAGTTTCTTGTAAATTAGATCAGCAGCAATCAGGAAATTTAGCTTCATCTGATTCATTTCTCTGCTTGTGTTTTATTATTATCATTATGCATCTAAGATGATATAAATAACGTCATCAGAGATTTTATCGTCCTCCTTTGGCAGAAAAACTTTTAGATGATAAAAAAATTAATTTAAATATATTTTTTAATGTGCGCCATAAAACCTTGAAAGAGAGTTTAGTTTCAGACTTTGGTGCAGATAAAGAAACTTGATCCAAGCCCAAACCAACAACTGCACCACCAAGAACTGGTGTCGCGCAGAACTCATTTACTAATGGATTGGTTTTGTGTTTCAGCCCACAGAAAATCACTGGAGCCAGTGTGGTGCCCGTCTAATCTCTGAAATATAAATGCGGAGACAACAGGCCAAGGTGCTCTGCAGACACGTATGTGATGACGCAGAAATTAACTGGAGACTTTTTAATTATGAGTCATCGGTTTCTAAAAGATGAATAAAATGAGCGCTAATGAAGAAAATTCATGTAAAAGTTAGTCTGGGTAAAACTTTGACGATAAGTTTAATAAAAATGTTTAATTTTAAGACGCACACACACACACACACACACACACACACACACACACACACACACACACACACGCACACACACACTCAAAAGTGGCTGATTTCATACTGGTGGTCTATGGCCCATAACTTGGCAGGTTGTATTGTCGCTCATAGGTGCATAATGGCGCATAATGGACCCACCCATCATCAGAACCAATTAGATCAAAGCATCTCATAAAATAAACAACTTCTTTAATTAATCCAGTATCAAAGGCGAAGGTGAAACTATTTTTTAACCAGTATCTGTTATGATGATCTTTTATTACAAATAAAATGTAAAAAAATAAATAAATAAAACACCCCTTTCCAAAACAAACATATTTACAATATTATGCATGTGTGTTTTGTTTATTAACGTATATTTAATCAGTGTTTTGAAGTTTCTTCTTTAAGTACAAACGTGTTTTTGACTCTTGAGGTATTTAAATTTTCCAAATTTGCGTTTTTGCGCCAAACGTTTGGAGAAGAATCGCACTTTTCAGGGAGTTCCACCAATTTCAGACGACATTCAGAACCTGTCGATGTGCTTTTTTTTAATAGCGCCGTAATAATTGATTAGTGGTTGGTGCTGCTCTGCTCCCTCAGCTGAAGCGGGAGAGGGACTGTGGGGGCGGGAGGTGGGAGCGCTCCTATTTCAGCCCCTGACGCACTGCCTCTGGGGAGGAAACGGAGCTGCAAACTCAGTCCTGCTCTGCTGTACAGGGTGCAGGGCAGAGGGAGAGCCAATCACCGAAACGCACAGGCTCCCTTTAAGCCTGACATATCTTCAACAGGAACAAATTGTCCCAACAATCAACATCCCAATCTGCTGCGCGCATCAGGAGGTTGGAGAGGAGTGGACACAAACAGGCCTGTGCTGCGCGGACGGACTGCGCCGGATTGCACCGCGAGAAGAAGCTTCAAAACACCTTTTCAGACCATAAATCACTTTGGATATCAAGGTTTTGTCGCTGGAGGAGTGAACGCGGACATCATGTCAATATTACCGTCCTTCGGGTTTACGCAGGAGCAAGTGGCGTGCGTTTGCGAGGTGCTGCAGCAAGGAGGAAATCTGGAGAGGCTCGGCCGCTTCCTGTGGTCTTTGCCCGCCTGCGATCACCTCCACAAAAACGAAAGCGTCCTGAAAGCCAAGGCGGTAGTCGCTTTTCATCGGGGGAACTTTAGAGAGCTTTACAAAATCCTGGAGAGCCACCAGTTTTCTCCGCACAACCACCCGAAGCTGCAGCAGCTGTGGCTGAAGGCGCACTACGTGGAGGCGGAGAAGCTGCGCGGACGGCCGCTCGGTGCCGTGGGGAAGTACCGGGTGCGGAGGAAATTCCCGCTGCCCCGCACGATCTGGGACGGTGAGGAGACCAGCTACTGCTTTAAGGAGAAGTCCAGGGGAGTCCTGAGAGAGTGGTACACGCACAACCCCTATCCATCCCCGCGGGAGAAGAGGGAGCTGGCGGAGGCCACGGGACTGACCACCACGCAGGTCAGCAACTGGTTCAAAAACAGACGGCAGAGGGACAGAGCCGCAGAGGCCAAGGAGAGGTAGGTTCAGATGTCACACCGCCACAAAAGAGCCTTTATTTACTTTAACTAAACACGTGGAACAGGGGAGTGCGAGGGATGTTGGCAGAAATTAAATCAAGACGCGTTTCTTTATTTCAGAGAAGAACAAACCATTTTTGTCCGGATAGTTCCATACAAAATATAAGTTTATTTAAGTCGAAACTCTTTATTATTAAAAAAATGCAAAATTTCCAACATAATGTTTTCTTTTTATTATTTTGGGGGGAATTTGAGTGCACGTTAAACGATTTACACACACAGCCAATCCGAATTTTACGCAAACACAATCCACTCCAAGAAAATAAAGATGGAGATCTTTTAAATACTTTAGTTTTTTTTATTCTCGTCTGATAAATGTTTATTCCTTGAGAGACTTATTTCCTGATCTGTCCTTGTGTTCATCTGCAGAGAGAACAGCGAAAACAACAACGCAGGCGGCAACAAACAGAACCAGCTCTCCCCTCTGGATGGAGGAAAGTCTCTCATGTCCAGTTCGGAGGACGAGTTTTCTCCACCCCAAAGTCCCGACCAGAACTCAGCGCTTTTGCTTCAGGGCAACATGAGCCACCCTGGGGCCTCTTCTTACCCTATGTCCGGCCTGGGGGGCCCTCAGCCGGTGCACGGCATGCACGGACACCCACACCAGCTGCAGGACTCCTTGTTGGGACCTCTAACCTCCAGTCTTGTGGATTTGGGCTCCTAAAGAAGCTGATTATTATATTTTACCAAACCAGAAAAAAGAGAACTGATTATTGTATCAGATTGAACACGTGTATGAAACATTGTAGTCTCCTTATTATATATAGACTGACTTATCTGTCGTTAAAAATTGGTTAGAACTAATAATGCGCTTAATCCAAATGCAGCCCTTCGTTTCTGCAAAACTAAAAACACAAACTGTGATGAGACTCCATGGAAACAGGATTACACTTTGCTTTATTTATGAGATTTTGTTAAAACAAACACTAAAATATAGAAACCTCCTGCGATGGAAACTAATAAATAACGTTTTCATTAGAGTCATGGTAATTAGTTTCCAATAAAACTAAAGTAACGCGTTTGTCTCTGTGTTATTTGTGTATTTAATAATAAAAACCCATAATGCATTTCGTTTTTTAGCAATTCAGATGTTAACTCTGAACTTGGAAAAACATTTTGGATTTCATGTTTCTGTTCATATTGAACTGAAATTTAAAATATGTTTTTAAAAATCTAATTAAGTAAACAAATCCGCCTTGGTGGGATCTTTTCTTCTTTTTAAACAATAAACAAAAAGGAAATCTTAGATTCACAAACAAAAGTCAACATCAGCACCTGTCTGTCAAGAGGGAACTGTTTGCGCAGCAACCAATTCTCTCCATAATAAATATGGCTTCATGTGACTTTTCTTCTTTTTCTTTGCGTGATTGTTAGCCCGAGTGCTGCGGATCATTGGCTTTTTTGTTGACATGTTTTCTTTTCTCCTTCTGAAAGTTTGTTCTGACGATTCCGGGCCATGGGAAAGATCCAGAACCTCCGGAACCTCCAGCTCTGGATTTTTAAAGGGAAATATTTAAAAAATATACCCTACCACCCCTAAGACAATGAGGAATATTAAAGTAATCCAAATTAGGTTATAACGTGCTGTAATAATAATAATAATAATAATAATAATAATAATAACAATAATAATGTATTTTTTTTTTGTTTTGGCTGTGGTGCCCCCCACCCCACCATGCTCTCTTCTCAGCTCATGTCAGACTAAATTGTTTTGAGCAGAGAGCACCGAGGATTTCCTGAGCATAATCTGAAACAGTCGCTGCTTGCCTCACTGCCTGATTGCGAAGATTGCAGAGCTTCAGGGGCTGCAGCAGCCACAGCTTCAGTAGAGAGACCCGGAGGTTATTCTGCATAGAAGCCCCACTTTTTCCTCTTTAAAAGAAAAATAAATCCCCCTGATCCTGCTGTTTTTGACCCAGCCCATCTTTTCCAATTAGCTTTTATAGAGATGTGTGTGATGTCTGGCAGACGTCCATTGACAAATATGAAATTATTATTATTATTATTATTATTATTATTATTATTATTATTATTACAAACGTTTTTAATGATTTTTGTTGCATCAAGTTAATCTGGACAGTAATTTGTTTTTACTTTAATTAATTCGTACTAAAAGGAGACTTTTTACATAAAATTTGTGGTAAAATACATAAATATTGAAGAGAGAAAATAATCATAAAGGGAGTTACTGCAAGAAAAAGGTGGCTGAGAAATGATGTTTTGAGTTATATACTTGTCACAAAATAGATAATAATGTTTGCATTACATACTGGAATATTTCTAACAATTTAAGCAGTAAAGTGTTGTGCAATGCAGAATTTGGAGAAAAACAGCTAAATCAGTGACAAAACACAGAAACAGTCTCCAACCTTTTTGCTTCTACAAGATAAAACAAATTGACATACAGTGTACAAATGAAACGTTAAGTTCACTTATCCAAGTTACCTCACCCGATTCCACTCAACCTACTTCAAATAATGTGTTATACATTATGTTAAAAGTATGGCATAAGTAAATTCAACAATTCATTTCTTTGAGTGTATAACTGCAGCTGAACTGTGTATGTTTGATCTGAACTGTGCATGTTCAGGTGTTTTATCAAAGTTGTTATTCATTATTTCTTGAACAGAGAGCAGAAATGCCCATGTAGATGTTGTACAGTTCTAAGAAAACTACTTGTCTTTGACTTGGCTTCAAATGTGGCTAAATATTTACAAATTAACAAACAGGTGACCACGGAGCTCCTCATACCTGTTAATCTAACAACAACACGGCAGCAGACGCTGCAGGGATTAAACAAACTACACCACACGGCAGGGAGATGCAATCAGAGTCACCTCCAGGATGTGCAAGACCCTAAAATCAATCCTCCATGGAAACGTTTACAGTGTTTTTAATCAAGGCTAAAGGCTCCACTTCCAGCCTCATTCATCTGCTGTTTTTGTCTCATCAGTCCTGCAACAAGTGCCTGATCCAGCCTACAGGAGACAAAAGATGGAGGTAACGTCAGCCTGAAGCAAGCTGGTGCCAGTAACAACAGCTGCTGATGGCAAACAGAGCCCGAGTCATCAAAAGGGTATTTCGTTTGTCAGAGGTGTAAGTGGCAGTGGCTCTAAATCAACAGCAGGAAAGGCCCTGACGTGTGCAAATAAACATGGAGAGAGTAGCCCACGTGAGCCTGGGCCGCCCTTCTGGGGCTCTTGGAGTGTGTGAACATCAGACGAGAACAAAATACAACTGTGGGGAATTTCCTGCTTAAAATGAATGTCTGCATGGTCCGCTGCTTTCAGGTAGTTTTACTGAGGCTTTTGCAGGTATACGTGTGTGTGTGTGTGTGTGTGTGTGTGTGTGTGTGTGTGTGTGTGTGTGTGTGTGTGTGTGTGTGTGTGTGTGTGTGTGTGTGTGTGTGTGTGTGTGTGTGTGTGTGTCAGAGGAGGTGGGTGGGGGGTTAGGCGGGTGATGAGGGACAAAAGGATCTTTTTAGGTCTGCTTCAGAGGGGTGGAGGTGGAGGTGGTGCAGAGGCAGGGAGATTTTCTTACCAGTGATGCATGGATCTGACAATGATCCTGCCTGGATGAAGCCAGGGGCGTGTGTGTGTGTGTGTGTGTGTGTGTGTGTGTGTGTGTGTGTGTGTGTGTGTGTGTGTGTGCGCGCGTGCGTGCGTTTGTGTGTGTGTGTGTGTGTGTGTGTGTGTGTGTGTGTGCAGATTCCAGAGAGGTGTCAAAAGAAAGTTAAAGTTAAATAAATATATTTCTACATGATAAGCCTGTAGATTTTGCACCGTTCTGCCTCACAAATGCTAATTACACTGATCCGGGGCTTGCAGGCCGAAGGACAGCCTCCTCTCTCAGGAGCAGGAAGCCATTCAGGAAGCTTCTATGTGACAGAGCTGAAAGAAACATTTATCTCCTTCTTCCAATCCTCTGAGTGATGCATGACCCAAAGTTCAGACAGCAGCAGGAGGAGGAAAGAGAAAACTCTGAGGGCAAACACAACGTATCAGGGTGTTAAATAGTGTGTTATGTGTCAAATGAAGGCCAGCATCATATACGTTATCCGATGAAGGGGGAGGTGTTGTAATACATTACAAAGGGGGAAAAACAGAAGACAAGATAAGACGTGCGTGAAGTGTCAATAAGCGTCCTCGGTAGAAGAAATATGTCCAGGAGGCAAAAGATCACATAACAAACCCTCTCGGAGACAAAAGCCAGCTCTGGTTTCTGAGAATATTTTGGACAGAAAGATGATATCAGCTGGTGTCATTAGTCTTGTGCATTTGGTCAAAAGAGTGACTTCAACTTGAGATGGCTCTAAATGTCACTGTTAGCTATGATGAATGAGTCGTGGAAAGTACAGAAAAAGGATGAAGGACGTGGCTATGTTTACAGAATGTACAGGAGAGTGGGAAATAATCCGATACTGAAAAAAATCAGGTTGTAGAGAAAACTTTAACACTTTTTTAAATAAATGGTGAAGATTTTATCTTTCATAATGAGATACAATGACTTTTTAGAAACTTTTTTGCCTAAACTCCATTAAAAGTAAACCTGAAACACTTTTGATCTGAAAAACAAAAAAACCAACAAAATAAAAAAAACTGTTCCTGAACAGCTGCTTACACTGTAAGAAATGAATTGTTAAATTTACTTGTGTCAACTGGTTTCACTAAACCTAGCTGCTTCAATGTAAACAGTAATAAACCTTTACTTGTAGCCCTTTAAAATAAGGGTCACTTTTTAAATGTTACTTAGTGCATTATTAAGCATTAATAAACAAAGGGTCCTTTTATTAACGTAACAATTATTGTTAAATATCAAGTGTCCTTAAGGTGAGGGCAAAGCAGTTGTTAATACTTCATTTAATAGTTTATTAATGCTCTATAATGCACTAAGTAACTTTAATAAAAGGAACCTTATTGTAAAGTGTCACCGTCTACTTTTAACATAAAAACATGTAACAATGTGTATTACTCTTTACATTTAAGCAACTAGGTCTAGTGGAACTAGTCGACACAACTTGATCAGGTAAAGTCAACATTTTATTTCTTACAGTGTATTTTTAACCTTTCACCATCAATATGAAAAAACAATAACAAGAACTTTTTATCTTTTTAGAAGAGCCGTTGTAGTTTGGAGTCAAAATCATATCATGTGATTCTGTAGGTTTTGTTGTATTTAGCCTTTTTGCACAGTAATTATAACATCAGTCAGGATGTTTTTCTTTGGTGTGTTTATTCATCTTAATGGAGAATAAAAGAATGACAACATTTATTTTACTCTGAAATACCAATTCAACAAAAAAAAGTGAATCAAATTGTTCCGTTTTAATCATTCACTATAATTGTTATTATATGTAAGATTATGTTGGGACTGGTGAGTGGCTTATGTGCAAATTTACCATCAACAAACCCATTAACCCACTATTGGATCAAAACCCTTCAACATTTGTGATAAAATTCATGATTTAGTATTTAATCCAGAGTTAGAGAATGTCAGATTATTTATTCTCATTGTTAGAATGGCAAACAGCCTACATTTCCCATCTTTGTACAGACGTTTGAGTGGAATTTCCCATAAAGATGACGCTAAATGATGTTTTATTTTAGAGTCAACTTAAATCTCTTGTTCTGTACCTCTTTACGGGGGATTTTTCAAATGTATTTGCCTGGAAAAAAGAAGCATCTCTCCAACCTGCTCTGTTTTCCATCAGACTTCAGTATTTTTTCAGTTCAGCTGTTTCAACTGTTTGTTTAAATCTTGACCCACGTTTTCCCCGACGATGCAGTTTTTCCTCTTTTAAATTCAGTTTCATGTTCCAAACCGTGGAAACTTAAGAGGTGGATGTGTGATGTGATTGGCTCGCTGCTGTTTAAATAAACCGAGTGACTTTTTAAATTTAGTATTGATTTCAGGTGGAACACTTGCTGTATTCACACTAAATGGATTAATTATTTTTAATCACTGTTTGTTTTAATGAACTTCATCTTAGGAAGGTCTTCTGCACATTATTCTTCATAATGT